AAGGCCATCAACGAAGTTGTGGTGGTGGGGAACATGAGGTTAAACTGTACCATATATACCACCGAACTGACTGGTGGTGACTTTACTCTACTACTTGGTACGGACATTTTAACCAAGCTAAAACCTGTTATAAGCTGGTATGATGATAAACTCTACCTACCAGATAATACTGTGGTGGCTATGACTTACTTACCAAATCTAAGTGGAATGCTTACGACCACTGCAAAAGCTTTCAGTACTATGCACTCTGTACCTATGGATAGGTTAGATGACTATCTCGGAGGACTTAGTGACGAACAACTAGATGAGTACTTGGAGTTTCGTCTCTGTAACTTTGTACCACCTGAGTTAGCCTTCTCAATCACTGATGATGACCTTCCTTTTCAAGTTCGACGGTCCTATACAGTTCCAAGTCATCTTCAGAATGGCCTCATGAAAACCCTAGCGGAGGCTGAGAGACTTGGCCAGATTCGGAAGGTGACGTATGATGACAGCTACTTCATATCTCCAGCTTTTGCTCGGGGAAAATCACGATTGGATAGTGATGGTGATGAAGAAGCGAGGTTATTATGTGATTTGAGAAGCCTAAATGGTAGGGTAAAAATCCCTTTCGCTGACTTTGCTGCCGAATGCCCGTCTGCTGAGGTGTTCCTTGGTGATGTAGGTATGAATGATGTCTACTACTCGGTGATAGATTTGACCAACGCCTTTCACACTACTAGGGTCTCTCCAGAAGCGAGAAAATCACTAGTGTTTCGGGTGGGTCTTGGTGATGGTAACCAGCTTTATCAGTATTGTTGCTGCCCACAAGGTTTTGCCTTGTCAGCACAATTTTTCTGCTTACACATTGCTAGAATTCTATCACGAGAGTTTGGCTCTGCGTGGCGCTTATGGGCTACCTTATGGATAGACGACGTTTTGGTACATGGACATACCCTGCCGAGTGTGCTAAACGAGATCGCCTACTAAGACGAGGGTTGGTAAAGGCTAAAAAGGGGATTTCGAGCAAATCGCAACAACCAGCCCAAGAAGTAAGTTGTATTGGATTGTGGTTTGAGAAAGGCTTTTATAGATTGGATGAATCCTCTCTGAAGCGTCTCTTGAACATACTCAGTTCTGTACCCCACTCCGTAAAGGAGGTTAGAAGATTGATAGGCGTGATTTTGTATGCCGCCACTGCATTTAGTTGGGATGCCTTCAGCTACTCCACCCTTACACGTTTACTTCAACCATTACATCGTGTTGTCAACGACACTGTCGTGAAGAAGAATCGGTTCGCTTGGAATAAGGATGCTGCTGAAGCTCTGAGTGAGTTACGACAACATGTTGCTAATACCCCCCTTCGCCAGTTCAGCTTAACTGATGCTCTGTCGAAGGATTCTGTATGGTGTATAACTCTCGATGCTAGTGAAATTGGATGTGGTTCCTGCCTGTTCCAGGTATGGGGTGTGCCGCCATCGCAAATTACGGCGTCAGTACTGCAAGATCCTACTCATTCGGCCCTGGTTAGCTTACAGGCAAAGACGTTCAACAGCAGTGAACGAAGGTTCTTCACGTATGAAAAGGAATCACTATCACTGGTGCTTTCCCTAAAGAAATGGGGCTCATTGATTGTCTCTTCTTCTCGTTATAAAGAGCCGAACGCCATTAACTGCGTCGTGTTATCTGATAATGTGGCTACTATTTCCCACTTCAGCGACTTCAAGGTGACTGGTGACCCTGGTGTTAGTGCTCGAGTTCGTAGGTATCTAGGCTGGCTAGATGATATTGCTTTCGCCCGTACAGCTGGTGTGTCGATAAGACATCTCAGTGGTGAGCTTAATGCGATTTCAGATGTTCTGAGTCGTTATTATTCTGAAATAAATGCTACTTCTAACGCTACCATTCCTACTACCCCTTTCGCTTACAGCCTACTCAATCAAGAAGATCCACTTCAAAGAGACGGAGAGGCTCAATGTGAAGAAGGTGGGACTATTAACTGTACTGGAATTCCACCGGACCCTACTCTTAATGGTTTCAAAATAATACATCCGGATTGGGATTTCGAAACTGTGGTATATGCTGCTAGTTTACTGCGTTCCGACACCACAAAATATTTGGGTGTACGGATTAAAGATATTGTTGCAGTCGCTTCTTCTCAAGGTGCTACTGATGTTGCTCCTATTGTGTCTGTGCAGATAAGAGCTTGGCTCGGCGACTCAATGTGGTTACTGGAGCACCCTGCTATTGCTGCTGCTAATGATGACAACAACAAGAAGGATAACTACCTTTTATTGTATGTACTATCTCCTATCAAGAGTAGCGATATAGTTCCTGTCAAAGGAAGATTTCGCACTAGATTGGTAGTACCGTATATACCGGTTGAGCCTGATAATACTGGTTCCCCTACTTTAAGGTCTAACTTACTCTCCGTTGCACATTCTCGACTTCATCTTGGTGTCGGATCTACCCAAGATACCGCCACAAGATTGGGGTGGTGGCCATCGATCTTGCTCGATTCGAGAATGTTTGTTTCGAGATGTCTTTGCCAAGAGAATAAAGCGGTAGAGCCGTCTAATCGTAATTTTGGTGATAATACCTATGATATGCCTCGGTTTTCGGTTATATCTATGGATCACAAGGCCATTCCTGATAGTCTTCGGCAGTATACCACTTTTACTACTGTGCTGAGTATCAGTGACTTGGCGTCAGGCTACTGTATCTATGAACCTCAACGGGGCTATACTGCTCAGGAAACCTATGTGACGGTCTTTAGACGTTGGTTGTGTCGTTTCTCAATTCCGTCTACTGTGATAACTGACATGTCACCGTCATTCATTAACACCGTTTTTGCGGCCTGTAACCGTCTGCTCGGTATAACTCACCATCGTAAGGTTGGTACCCGTAATGCACGTGGTAATGCGCATATCGAGCGTCGTAATGCCTTCTTGGGGCATGCTTTCAAGCTCGCTACTGAGCGCGGTACAGTGAGATGTGACGAAGATTTGGTTAATACCCTTGGGTTTGCTGAAATATTGGCTAACCAGTTAATCCGTCAAGGAGACAATAACGGTTCGACATGTGCCTTTGAACGAGTCTATGGTGAATCTCCACGGTTACCGTCAGTTCTCACCGATTCCCCCATCACTGATGATGAGCGGAGCTTAGAGTCGTCTGATCAGGATGGTAGGTCTTTATATGAACGTATTCGAGCTACGGCCTTGGCTGTTGGCGACGAATATCGACTGTGGAGAGAGTCACAAGCACTCGATCAACAACGTCGGCAACGTGCTCGCCTTGCCCATAAGAGAAGGTTGCATTCTACTGATTCTTTTGCCATTGGTGACGAAGTCAACTTTGAAGGCCAATTCATACCATCACTGAGGTCTTGCGGGATGACACTGGTCATATCATCACATTAAAGCTTAGTGATGGCACTGTAGTCCCTGTAGGGAATGTCCGACCAGCAGCTATGAACAATATTGTTGAAGATGTTCCACTTCATGCTACTACTGCAGGCCACCTTGGATTCAAGGAGAATGACTGTGTATTTTACCGTGTGAAGAATGCCGATTATGATTCTGACTCTGGTAAGCCAGAATGGTATATTTATGTGGGTAAGATAGTGCAAGTCGACGAGGCCAACGCTGAATATAAGATTCATGTGTATAGTGGAGAACGGCGCTGGCTACCCTTATGGGAGCGATACCGTCGCGGTGGTGGTTACGAGTTCGTCCGACGACGACACTGCCCAGACAACGGAGTTCCTAGGATTATATCGGTGAAGATAGCTGATGTTGTAGCTCCTTGTGGTCTTACCAGAGGCGGTGCTCTTGATGAACAATCTAAGAATTGGTTACATTCTACTGGTGTGGCTGCCCCTGACTAAGATTAACTTGGAGGTGGAAGCATGTGGTGGGGCTATGTCACAGAATCTTGGCATCTTGGAATTATTCTACCACGATGCTTCACCTCAAGCTGTGGATTCAAGCTTAGCTATAGAGTTGAGTGATTTAGTTGAGTGAAGAATTCAGATGATAGAAGAGTGTGATCAAATACATCAATTGCTTGATTCTTTCTTGTAGTTGATTTACCACTCGTACTGTTTATATTGGCAAATCTACTCCTTCTTCTCTTGTGTGTTTGGGTTTGTACACGGCGATTGGAAGCGGAGGATTTACTACTACTACTAATAGCACGAAAGGAGCCAACGATGGTGAATGATTATAGGACATTAACAACCAACGAACAACAACAGACAAATAGCGACAAACGAGCAACAACAGACGAACAACAACAATCGAACAACAACAGACGAACAACAGCGAAAGAACAGCAACAAACGAACAACAACAAAACCAACAACGACGACGACAACGGCACCATCACCACCAACAACAACGACAACAAGAGCAGACGAACAACGACAGACGAACAACAACAAACGAATAACAACATACGGGCAACAACGAATGAACGACAACAGACGAACAACGACAGACGAACAACAACAAACGAATAACAACATACGGGCAACAACGAATGAACGACAACAGACGAATAACAACAACCGAACAACGACAGACGAATGACGAAGAACAGCGAAAAAACAACAGCACGGCGTGATGGATTCACGTATTCACCAGCCGTTTCATCCTCTTTGAATTCCAATCCTAATCTTATACAGTCCCTTACCATCTAGTTGGACTCAACACCGTGCATGACGAGAAACCCATATCGCATGATTTAGAGTTACACGACTTCAGCATGGATCCACAACAGCAGCGTGCCTTTGATATCATCCTACGCGATCTCACATCCTCTGAGTGCTCCACCGACTGTCACGTTCTATCGGGCATCGCAAGAGAGGGGAAAACCTTCACACATAACTTTAGTGACTAAAGAAGATAGTAACAACAACGACAACAGAGCATCATCATTGACAACTACAGCATTAGCAATAACATCGGCACTAGCATCAGCATAACAACCAACGAACAACAAC